TTACATCTAATGCCGTTGCATTGGATTCCTTGGAATGTTTAAAATAAATCTAATCAATTGTATGTGATTGTAATTATATTAGTGAATTTTAATAAGCAAAATTGACTTTATATTCTTTATCTATGAATCTTCTTTATATTTTTATTTGGTGAAATATTTTTTAATATTTTTCTTACAAAAATATTTTTAATATGCTTATATTTTTTCTAAATCATACCTCAAAAGTAGATATAATCATATTAAAAATATTTTATCAAAATATATGTTAAAGAATTTTTTGCCAAAAAAAATGAAGAAGATTTAGATCATATCATATGTAATTTTATAATGACAATTTTGCACCGTTCATAATTTGGGACAAATTTGGTCGAATAAGAAAAAGAGTGAAAAGACTCCTTTAAATATGAAAATTTGGATCTTTCTGTGACAAAAAAAAAAGTGAGAGAGGTTAGATACAATAAGGTCAAATTTCCTTCGTCCTCTCCGATTTCGACGACTCGCGCAGCCCGGCGGCCGGTAGGAGGCGCTTTCTTTTGTCTGTCTGATCCGGGTTTGCTGTCATTCCCTGTTCAGGTCTTTGGTTCGCAAGGTATTCTACGCCTTCCTTGTTCATGTTTTGATTTGTAGCATTTTAATTGGTGGATCAATCTTCGTCGTTGAAATGGTCTTAGATTGGGTTTAAAAACCTTTGCTTTTCTGAAGGATCTGAAACTGTTGGTTTCTATTTGACAGAACGATGTTGGGAGTCGTTAGGCAGAGGCTGGGATGCGGAACCGTTGGTTTCAATATCTGTGTTGATTTTGTGGTTTCTATTCGATTATATTTTTCATATTGAAAAATTTATTTTATTTTCCTTTTGAACTTGTAGATGTTGGGGCGAGCCGTCGAGAGGCTTGGCCCGGCTGCATCTGTTGCAGGGAAGAATTACTCGACTGCTGCTAAAGAGGTAATGGATGATACTGGCTGTTGTCTTTTTTGTTTGTTTGTTTGTTTTTTTTTTTTTCGTTTTTGCTTGATCAATTGGAGTGTTGTGTTGTTTCTGACTGGTTGGAGCTTGGTGGAGAATTGATTGAGGCTTGTCAATGATTTGCGTTTGGAAACTGGCGATTCATGAATTCCAATTTGTCTGTTGGTTTTCTTTAT